TGACTTTGTTATAAAGGTTCCATCTTAATCTCTAAGTATCTGTTTCTGCCTAGGAAACTAACATTTTCTACCTCTTGTAGATTTGAGGTGAGTCTTGAAGAAAGCCAGGGGAGCTAGGCAGGAGGTGGAGATGAAGGCAAGGAGGAGCAGCCATTGAAAAGTCATGGAGAGAGAAGGTGGAGGATCCTATGGGAGAAACAGCATTGAAGCCAGTGTGACAGGCTCCTAGAGCATGTAGAGAGGATTAAAGTGTAAGAAGATTGGAGAGACAGGAGGGGCTAGGTTCTGAAGCACTTTAAAAGGAAACAGGATTTTAATATGTGGGGGAAATACCCTAAAATGGTAGAGCATTTGTTATAATGGGCTTATAGTTCTCAGGGTCTGTGCGCAGAAGAAAAATTGGGTGACACATCTATAACAAAAGGGATGTCTTCTCCCTCAGCGGATTTTCATAGCTTGATATCATTTCCAAGAAGGCATGCAAACTACTTTTGCCCCATGTGGGGTTGCAAAGACCATGCAGATAACTAACTCCCCAAGAAAATCTTTTGAAAAATCCTTTAATGACCCCAGCAGAGAATTCCATGACATCTCCTTAAGCCATCCTGCTTCCATGACAAATTGCCCTTGAAAATCCCCATGGCTTTTGTATACTCTGCTAACCTCTGGGTGGGGGTGGGGGGAGTGATGTGGCCCACTCTGCTCTGAATATTTCATCTACATCTTCATGCAGTGAGGAAATTGAGAGCCGTGCTCATTCTATGCAGAAAGACCTGGAAGAATTTGAGAAGTCCAAAATTCTAAGCTACTGATTGGATTCCCTCCTTTGAGACTATCTCCTGATTCCCAAATCTTAATAGCCGGGCAAATTCCTTTGCCTGAATTTAGTGACTCCTTTTCTTTATAGGGTTTGTATGTTATTATATGGGGCTATATTCTGTCCTATATTATACTTGACTAAGATACCTTAAAACTAGAATAATGGTTCAAAGAATGAATGATTTTTTAAAAATGAAACGAAAAGCGACAGAGATTAAGAAATTGCAATTTTTATAGGTAACCAAAAGTGAGGAGGAAAGAAAAAAAATCCTCGAAGAGACAATGGCAGACTTAAAAGCTGTCCTGCCCTTGAATTCACAAATGAAACTAAAGGTGACACCCAGAGCACATCACAAACATTTCTAGGAAGCCTCTGAAGACCTACACGAACTGCCCAGCCAGCAAGCTCTCACCTAGCCAGCTCTACTGATGTAGAGCTATTTTTAACCAGTAGTTTTCACTTTGCATGACTATACCATTTTCTATTGAAAGAAAGCTCATATTCTCTTTAATCCAAGAGAAATTCAGTCTCTCAGCTCTATGTATGAAATAGACTTGTTCCTAATACACAACTCAGTGCCTCCCAACCATTCTTCACTTTTCTGTGCAATTCTAAGAAATTTCTCTGACAAAAGGGAATAAAGTTATTGGACTCTCTTCCATGCATTTATTATTAACATTGAGGGAGGTGGTCCAATAGACAAAGAATTGGACCTGGAGTTGGGAAGACCTGAGTTCAAATCCAGACTTCCTGCAGAGAAGAGGTAGCACACAGCCTGTTCAATAAGGCATAAGATCAAGCAAGTCATTTAAGTCTGCCTCAATCTTTTCATCTGTAAAATAGGGATAGTAATAACACTTCTCAGGCTTGTTCTGAGGATAAAATGAGATGTTTGTATAACACTTTGCAAACAAGTGTTACATGTTAGTTATTACGATCATTTCTATTGATAGATCTATTCTGAATGCGCTATTTCTTCCCACTCAAAATTTGCTGTCATCGTCCCCCATGGCTGGACTGTCTTTTGTTCCATCTCTTTGCCTATTTCAATTTTTACCCATCTTTTAAACTCAATTCAAATGCTACCTCCTCTGGGAAGTCTTCTCTCATCTTCCTAGTAACTGATAACCCTTTCTCTTCAGACCTCAAATAGCATTTTGTTTTACACCTCTCTGATATGCTTAACATTTGTTGTTCTGTATATATTCATCTGTGTGTAGAGTATGGTGAGTTGGTTACTCAGGGTTTGTGGGGGGTGATGGGGAGGGGAGACATAAGGCAAAGCCAGCTCCACCAGGCCCTTTTCAGTCTTGCCTTCATATGAGCTGCATGGAGCATAACTGCCATCATTAAAGTGGAAAAGAGTTGAAAGGAGCTTTCTCATAGCAAGTCAGAAAGTAGACTGAACCCAGAGAGAGGCTGCCTGAGGCAGAAACAATGAAGTTAAAAGACCAGCAATCTAAGCCTGAGGGTGTCTGCTGGCTCCTAGGTTGCAGTGGTCTAAATAAATAGCCTATGGGGCTAGGGCTCTAAGAAAAAATTTTCTCCAAGCAGGAAGAGATGGCATAGACCCTCCAATAGCGCTGAAGAATGACAAAGAACATCAGAAGGCCTGAAGAGGCCTCCTAAAACCAAGCAGCTGAGTCCCCCAGCTCGGTGAATAAAGCAGCCTTCCCAGAGACATCACCAGAGGATATCAGAGGCATTTCACAGATGCACCATTTGTCCTTGCCACCTCTGCTCCATCCACGAATGTGTCTTCTCTTGTGTCTTCTCTGCCCATGCATGTGCCTTACCTATATGCTCCTTCATTCATGCTCCTGTATATGCCCTCTTTCCCAGAGGTCATCTGGTTACCTACGGGCGAGTGTCGCCAGGCTTGTCTGGGGAGACTCTTTGGTCACTTATTTTGTGGTGCTGTTGAATTTTATGTCCTTTGTTTTGAACTATTGTTTCCTTTGATTGGCTAGTAAAAGAAACACATCAAGAAAGGATCATGAACTGATTTTCAGTGAATGCTGACCCCCACTCATGATATGCCTCCAACCTGGGGGCAGCAGTCATGGGAGTTCACAGGTGAAGGAGAGCCGCAGGTGCTGTATGATGTATATGGACAGACTAGATTGTAAGATCCAGGAGGGCAGGGACCTCTGTCAGTGCCTAGCGCAGGATGATATAGATGGTAGGCACTTAATAAATCTTTATTGAATTGAAATTTAAAACACTAGAATTGGGTGGGGGGTTGGTTGTCCTTTGTTCTTGAAGAGGACCAAAATGACATCACTATGTTGGAGTCAAGGTATAGTGTGTCCATTTGTGGCTGATCAGACCATACGAGCTTGGAAGGCTCTATGAGCACAAATAATCCACATGAACATTTGGAGTGGAGATGTCTCTACATTTGAGCATCTCACATTTCTTTTGAGCTACTGCAATTCTGCTTCACTCATAGATGTGGTGTGGCGCTTTCCTGCAAGTGGCAATCGCATTGCCATGAGCCTGTCATTCACTCCTTTGGGACGGCATACAAGCTTATTGACTACATTAGTTTTGATTTCAAAACCTATGCCAGCTTCACCATGCTCCCCTTCACCTTGGCCACTACAGAAAAACATGTGTACAGCTCCAATTTCAGAAAGTTGACCTCCATTTGCCTGCCTTGTTTCACTCAGGGCTACTATTGGAATGCAATACCCACTATGTTCTCTCTCAACAAGAGCTGTTCATCTTTCAGGTCTACTGGATTTCATGTCTGTAAATACGTGCACATTCCACATACTGATGATGAGTGGAATCATCTTCGCAAAAGGTTTTGTACATTTTTTTTGTGTTTCAATTGCTGGGTGTGACCCCCACTTGCCATGGTAGACAGGCCAAGGCTGGGTGAAGCAGACAATTTTTAGGGTGCCTTTTCTAGCCACTTTCTCACACCAGGAGGTGAACAGTGTGGTCCTTAAAAGGCTGCTTAGACACCCGGGGGCTGCCAAATCCCACTGGTGCTTCTAGTGAAAAGATGACCCTATGGCTTGAGCCTCCTGTGTGTAGGATTGTGACTACAGTTCCCAGTGTATCCACACTTGTTGCTTCATCACTTGCCTGTCACCACAAGATTCTGAGATAGGTAAAAATGGTAAAATGGTATGGGTGATGTCTTTTGATTCAAGTTTAAATTGGATTTGAGAGAGGCAAAGTTGGGCAAAGTTATCAGCCTCCCTCTCTCTTCCACAGTCATCAAAGTCCAGTGGTAAGTGAAAGTCAAGATAACTGGTGATAGCTTGGGATGCAGTGGATGACCTTGGCATCTTCGATGTCTAACCAAACTCTAAGTGTTCCACAGCTCCTGCTTCCACTGCCTTCATGGCTGTTGGAACAACTTGTTCTCATCCGTCCATTCCACCAGGGGAAGTCTTCACATGCTTCACTAGCTGAAGATCTTGAGACCTATCACCCTCAACTTGATTTAGCCCATCTGCTGAAACAGTTTGCTGGGGTGTGGCTACTATGCACGCTACAGCTGCTTGGAGCCACAGGGGAGGGTTGGGTGTATCAGGTGGGCACCAAAGGTGGAAAGCAGCCCTCACACCAGAGATACTAGTCTTCCCTGAACACAACCTAGACCCTAGGGAAAAAATGCCAAAACTGTATAGTGAGTGAAGCTCAGAAATGTTGACAAAGAAGTAATGCTGGAAAGGCTCCAAAGAGATGATTCTCTGGGTCCCTTTGCATTAAAACATTCTATGAACCTCTGACCCTGGGGAAAGGAAATTCTCATTGCTTGAGGCACTAAAGAGGAGCTAGTCCAGAGACTCAAGACAATAACCTCAGGGACTAAAGCCTGATCTGGCCTCTGGGGATTGACCAGGTTAATAGGAAATAACCTGGTTTATAACTTGAAGTATTCAAGCTGATGTCCCTCATCTCACACAGGAGTAACCCCTGAGCCACAGCAAGAAGTTAAATCAGCCAGCACAGGAGGACCTGAAAAGCCCAAGTCTTCTCATTGCAGGTACCTGGGCAGCAGCTCACTGCCAGAGGTGATTCCACCTCTGATCTCAAGGCTAAAGAAGGAGGTTTTTGGCTTTTTGCCCATGAAATTCATTTTCTTCCCATTTAAGAAAGCACAACCTCTCCTTTGTGCTTTACATCTACTTTCATCCACCATTTTTTTAAAGAAGAAAATGCCAAAGCAAAAGGTAAGTTATATTTCTTTAATTAACATGAAACATCCCAATTTTTTCTGAGTTTCCTAAAATAATTTAATTTTTTATCCAAGAGAATCCATGGGCAAGAGAATGTTCTAACTACAGGTGAAACCCAGGAGTAATGAGGTCCTTCAAATTTATTCTCAGCAGGGCTTACGTAAGGTAAAAACATCTGGGCAATTTAATTGAAAAAAGTCATTTTAGCCATATACAAACTCAGACATCCTCACCCTTTGGTAAGATGTCACCAACTGATTGTTCAGTCTTTACTGGATTCTTTGGTAACATGAATCCCCCTCGTGTATCTTGCTTTCAAAAGATGTTTCCTCTAAGTTAGTGCTGCAGAGTCGCACAGTGAGTCCATTTTTCCTAAATTTCATGGCACGGGCTGCCCTGAGAGAAGTATCTTCCATACACTGACATCAGGAAAGGAGAATTTTTCTTTTGTCTCTCTGGGAGGAGTGTTTTCTTGCCCTAGTATCTGAGGGTGGCCCATGTTTCAATTCAACTCAACAGATACTATAAGCACACACTGTATGCAACGCATTGTAGTAGGTGAGCAGAGCCAGGGATGTACAAAGCTTAGTTAAGACACTGGTCCTTGTCCACTTGGAGGTGATAATTTAATAGAGGGATTATGGCACATCAATAGGTAACTTAATATATAGTAACAGATAAATGTATTATAAAAACACCAAAGAAACAGCTATAAGAGCTCCAAAGGGGTAAACCACTACCAACTGGGGGATCAGGGTGGCTTCATGGAGGAGGTGGCATTTTAACTGGGTTTTAAAGCATAGGAAGTTGTAATAGGCAAAAAGAATATGTTAAGCATAGGTAACAATGTGAGCAAAGCTATAGATGTGAGAAAGTGTGGCACACATTTGGACATCTGGGTAGTATGTGTGGCTGAAACATAGAGTCTGTAGCAGGGAATAACCTGAGAGACAAGGATAAAAAGATAAGGAGCTGCTGGTTTGTCAGGGGCCTTGAATGTCAGGCAATTTTTCCAATTTTGCTCTGTAGATACTAGGGAGCCATTGTAGATGTAGAGGAGAATAATGGTTGCTGTAGTTATTTGCCTTTCATTTTTGAAGAGGACCAATGACATCACGGATGATGGCTTGGCTTATGCACGAATTGGATTCAAATGAGGCAAAGTTGCACAAAGCCATGAGCTTCACTCTCTCTTCCAGGGTCATCAACGTCTAGTGGCAAGACAAAAGTCAGGATGACTGGAGATGTCCCGGGACGCAGTGGATGACTCTGATGTCTGACCCAGCTCTAAGAGCTCCACAGCACGTGTGTCAGCCGCCTTCGTGGCTGTTGGAACAACTTGTTCTCATCCACCCATTCCACCAGGGGAAGTCTCCACATGCTAGGGGTAGATGCCAACCCAACTCACCAATGGATTCAAGAACAGTGGGTTACCCTCAACCTAGTTTAGTCTGTCATCTGAATGAATTTACCTGGGAGTGGCTGCTGCCAATGCTGCAGCTTTTTGGAGTCACAGGTGAGAACTGGGTGACAGATGGACACCAAAATTAGATGAGCAGCCCTTACACTAGAGGGACTGGTCCTCCTGGCATAGTTGATCGAGTGCCAGGCCTGAAATCAAGGAGACTCACCTTAGTGAGTTTAAATCTGGCCTCAGACACTGACTAGCTGTGTGACCCTGGGCAAGTCACTTAACCCTGTTTGCCTCAAGAATAATGCTATCATCGGATCAATACACTAGAAAGACAGGGCTGTCCCAGAATGAAGGATGCTTTGGAGGGAGCAGAGAACAGAGGGGGGAAGACCTGTTTTAGTGCTGCAGACAGGTATTTGGTGATAAGGGCCTGTGGGAGCTGTGGGGAAAGCAGGGAGAATGGAAAGGACAGATTTGAGAGATGTTTCAGAGGGGAAAGGACAGGATTTGTTTCCCAACAAGGCTGGAGGATTACACAAATAAAGCTCCTGGCTACTGTTCCCATTGAGCTACCCCTTGAGCCAATAATTCCATTATACCAGAAGCTCCAGTCATATGTTTATTGGTGAACATGCTCTTTGTGTTTAAGACTACTTTGCAGATAAAGGTTTCAGAGTCACTTGCAGAGGCATAGTTGAATCCAGAGGATTGAATGATATTTTCAAGAGGCAAAGAAGAGAAGTGGCCAAGAGGAGACCCTTTGGGAATACCCTTCTTCAAAGGTCTTTATAGGAGAAAGAGTAAGGAAGGAGAACTAAAAGAATGTGATAGCCATGATAATAATAATAACAATAATAATAATAATAATAAATAACATTTATACAGCACTTTCTATGTGCCATGCACTGTGCTAACATCTATTATCTCATTTCATCCTAACACTCACCCTGCAAGGTAAGTGCTATTATTATCCCCATTTTACAGCTGAAGAAACAGAGGCAAATAAAGAGTAAGTGAATTGCCTAGGATCACACAGCTAGTAAGTGTCTGAGGCTGGGTTTGATCTCAGATCTCCCTGATTCCAGGCCTGACACACTATCCACTGTGACAACTGGCTGCCTTGAATATAAAGCCAAAGAAATATATCCAATGGTATCCAATAGGAAAGAGTGAGTTAAAAGCAGTGGAGAATTCAAAGAGGATAAGGACTGGAAAAAAGGCAAGATGGTCCAAAGAGTCACTGACGATCCTTGAGGGGGTGCTCGCAATAGAAGGGTGAGGATGGAAGCTCAGTATCAGGTACTAAGGAGGGGATGGGCTTGGGAGGAAGTAGAGGCATGTGGTGGAGATTTTTACAAGAAATTTAGCAACAAGAAGAGAAAAGTTTCAGGATGGCAGCTTGATAAGATCAAGCAGACTAGTTTTTTGTTTGTATGTTCTAAAATTGAGAAGACCTAAACATATCTGTACACAGAGGAGAAGGAAAGATTGACGGTGCATGGAAGAGAGAATTGTCGCTATAGTAAGATCCTGAAGGAGGGGTTAGATAATATGTTCAAAGGCCCAGGGAGAAGACTTAGACTTTGTTAGGAGAAAGATTTTGTCTTTCACTTTGAGAGAAGAGGGAAGGAGAAGAAAATGAGTAGGGATGCTGAGAAGTGTTGAGGAGAGGGAGTGTATAGTCAACTGAAGGGTGAGTTGATGTCTGATGTCCTCAATCTTCTTAGTGGAGAAGGAGGCAGAATTGCAGAATTTGAATGTTAGATGGGACATCTATACACAATCCATACACAAAAAGAAGCCCCACTATTACACACCTAGCAAGTGGGCCCTGGGAGACTGTGACTTGTCTGAGGCAGCTAGGTGGCCTAATGGGGATGGTGCTAGGCCTAGAGTCAAGTAGACCTGAGTCTACCTCAAATTTGAGCTCAGTTGTGTGACTTTGAGGTCACAGAAAGGAGTCAACAAAAAAAAAGGAGGATGACTGGACTATCTTTCTTTTTTAGTATTTATATCCTCACTTCTTAGCACAGTGCCTGGCACATAGCAGGCACTTAATAAATGTTTATTGACTGACTGAATGAATGTCAGACCCACAGAGTCTTTCATAAAATAGTAGTTAGTCCATCACTGAGCCCAAGACAGAGGGGTCAGTGAAGCAATTGAGGGAGAGAAAACTCCAAAGCTAGGAGCTAAAGATTCCAGTTCAAGCCAAGGTTCCTCCCTTGGGTGGCTGTCCTTTGGTATTCATATGAGTCTCCCACTTTCAAGGTCTCTCTGAAGAACTTTGGAATCCACTGTGTGACATGGGAGACGCTGACAAAGGACTGCTCTTGGCATGCCTTCATCAAAGAAGGCACTGTGCTCTATAAGCAAAGCAGAATTGCAGCAGCTCAAAAGAAATGTGAGATGTGCAAATTTAGAGAATCCACCCCAAATGTTCACACAGACTATCTGCACTCAACTTGTGGTAGAGCATTCCGAGTTTGTGTTGGTCTGATCAGCAACAGTCAGACACACTGTAATTTGATTCTAAAATAGTGATGTCATTTTGGTCCCAAGGACAGCAACCACTCATATGAGTACCTGTTTGTCCATCATTGTCCTTCCTGTGCTCTTTCTGTTCTGGGTTAAGTACTTCCCATTGATTCCTGTAGCCAATAGTGTAGGAAAGGGGGGTGAGATAGAGGAAGGGGTTAACTCTCTCCTCCCCCAAACAATGACATCTTCTATTTTCATTCCAGCTATGAAGGACATTAAAGAAAGGGGAAACCAAACAGTTGTCACTGAATTCCTCTTCCTGGGCTTTTCCAACCACCCAGAACTGCAGGGATTGTTCTTCCTGATGTTTTTGGTTGTATACCTGGTAACTCTTCTGGGGAACCTTCTCATATTAACAGCCATTAGAATCAACCCTGTTCTTCATACTCCTATGTATTATTTCCTCAGCAACTTGTCCTTCCTGGACATCTGCTACACCTCCACCACTGTCCCCATCATGCTGGTGAACTTTTTCCGAGAGAAGAAGACCATTACCTATGAAGGTTGCATGTCTCAGCTCTTCTTCCTTGTAACTTTGGCGGGTTCTGAGGGTGTGCTGTTGGCTGCTATGGCTTATGACAGATTTATAGCCATTTGCCATCCATTACGCTACCCAGTTCTCATGAGCAAGAGGATCTGTGCCTACTTAGCAGCTGGGTCCTGGTTGTGTGGGGTAGTGAATTCTCTGACACACACAGGGCTCACAGCAACTCTCACTTTGTGTGGTCCTAACCAGATCAGCCATTTTCTCTGCGATATCCCCCTACTCCTGAAGCTGTCCTGCTCAGACACTTCAGTCAATGAGTTCACACTCTATGCGTCCAGTGCCATCTTTGGTGTGAGTACCTGCCTCTTCACTGCCGTATCCTATATGCTCATTATCTCTGCCATCTTGAAAATCCAGTCTGCTCAAGGGCGACAAAAAGCCTTCTCCACCTGTGCCTCTCACCTCACTGCGGTAGTCATCTTCTTTGGAACTGCCAACTTCAACTATGACCAGCCCAGCTCGGGCTCCTCCCTAGATGTGGACATCCTGGTCTCAGTCCTCTTCTGTGTTGTTACCCCCATGTTAAATCCTGTCATCTATAGCCTGAGAAACAAAGAAGTCAAAGGTGCCTTGAGGAAATTATGTAAAGGGTATATTTTACCCAGTGATTCCAATGTTCAAATCACTTCTTAAACTGGGGTCCATGAACTCGGTTTAAAAAATATTTATTAACTGTATTTTCAGTATAATTGGTTTCTTTAGTGATCCTGTGTATTTTATACATTTAAGAACCCCTAGTCTAGGTCAATATATCTCTTCCTATATAAATGATTTCTATGGTGGAAATAACAGAGAAGGTTTAAAGGAGTATAAACCTACAGGGTAAGGCAATAGTATGTGACTGAGCTTCAATTAGAAGATCTTTGAGAACAAGGACTTGGATTTGTTTTGGTTTTGTCTTTCTTTTGATATCTCCTGCCCTTAGCATAGTGTCTGGTATGCTGTAATTGATTAATGAAGAGGCAACTTTAATCTGGAAGTATTGGGGGAAAGCAGGGGATCTTCTTGATAATTTGAACTTTCTAAAAATAGAATGGGTTAAATAATTATAATGCAGAAAGCGTATGTTAAATTCATTTTTTAAAAGTACTAAAGTTGAAGGGGAAAGATCCTTACTAACTGGTGGCTTACAGATGCCTAACACACTGTACTGTGATATTTACATTTTGGGGAAATACATGTCTAAAACATTACACATATAGTTCTACAATATCAAATCTAATGAGCACCATTTCTGTACTTCTCTTTCATCTGGGAAATTAACATAAGTTGTTAATATGCTCGTAAGCTTTTGACTTCTTACATGACACTTTCAGATGATTTTTATCCTAGTATATATGCAATAAAATATCATTTGAAATATGCCCATGCAATTGCTTTCCTACCATTTGACAGACACTACATCATCTATACAACTAGGGACTCTCCATGAACCATATACTACCTTATGGCATCAATGATGAGTCAAGACCGGCAATAAAGTAATAGGTCAAAACAGAAAAAAACCAGGAACAGGATCCAGGTGAACATAATTGGGTAAGTTGAATAAGGTAGGAAAGGTATGAATGGCTGAATATAAAAGCATTTAGTAAGAACTTACTATGCGTCACACATTTTGCTTAGTCCTGGGGACAAATGTAAAAGGAGACACAGTTCCTGCCCTCAGTGAGCTTACATTCTTACAAGGGAAGACAACATTATAGGCCAAGTGGTAGCCAGGGAAAGAGAGGTGGAAAGAGATTGGGGTGGGAAATGAGTAGTTACACATGTGGCAGGCAGATAATAAGATGTTCTGGAGTAGACAGCTGGATGGCTAGATGACTCAATGAGATATTGAGGTGAAGCATGCTCGGTGTTTAAGGCCGGTGGATATAATGGGCTAAGAGGGCTAGTCTGAACTATAAGTATTATGGTATGAAAGAAAATTAACCAAACACCTCTAATGGAAGAGACAAAAATTTGATTCCACAGAGATCCCAGAATAACAGTGAAAAACCCCATAATGATTCAAAAGAAAAATAAAATGTCTAAAAGAAGGTATTTGGATGGTAACTAGGTCACAAAGAAGACCTTTTGAAATCACAAAGATAACCATAGACAACTTAAAATATGTAATTGAGATTTAGAAGGTAACAGAGGGTTCTGCAAAGGAAAATGAGATTTGCAACTCATGAAAAAAAGGAAGCAGAAAACAGTCTGTTAAAAGAGAAGAAACAGAAAACTTTGAAATAATACATGAATTCTATATAAGTTGAAGAGACTGACCTTAAAGATAAAATGCACAGAGATACATAATACATTATTGATTTCAAAAGACTCATTAAAAAAAAACCATCATTATAGTACTGAAAGAAATATTACACAAAAACTTCCCAGAACTTTTGAATATGCATTACAAAATGTTTTTTTGATTGGATTAATTGATTACCATATGAGGAAAACACTGCACTTGAAAGCCCAAGGTATGTAGTAGTTTAATTTCAGCATTGCAATGTCAAACAACACATTTTGTAAGCAAAGTGAGTCAAGGCCTTTTGATGAAAAAAATATCAAATCAAATAGCCTAGGAGTACCTCATAGCTATGAGAAATCAGAAAATACACTGGGAATAAGATATTCCAGAAAGCCAAGAACCCAAGATGCAACCTAAAAAAGAGCTCTAATCATCAATTTAAAAAGATAGACCCTGAAACGAAAATGAAAATATTAATGCCAAAACAAACTAAAGCAGAGGTAAACAGAATATTGGACTTACATGCACAGTAAAGAGGATAATAAAAAAGCAAACAAATATAATGACCAAGAAAAGACTAAGCAATGAAACAAACTTCATTTACTTTACTATAAGTGAATCTGCATATTTAACAATTAGTCACTTTGGCAAAGAAAGGAAGGAAAATGAGAAATTAGAGCTAAAAATGTACTTACACGGAGTCTAGAGAAGAATAGGAAAGGGACAGCAATTTCTGCAGTCTCTCAATAACTATGTGGAACCATGGAAGAGCAGATAGAGTAAAAGTAACAGAAGGTAGAGACTGGGATGCATAGAGAATGTGGGGAGGCAGTATTTTATAAATACATTTCATCTAGGATGAATAGGCAAAATAGGAGACCACCTTCACTAAGCAAAGATTGTACTTCACAGGATTTTTATCCCACCCCAGGATCGGGGATGAATAGATAGAAATTAGCACTAAGCATAAAAAGGGAGACAGAAATCGAGAAATAGATATATACTAGCCTTAGGAGAGGTGAATAGTCATGATAATGGTAGGGGGGTAGGGGTGGCATGATTTCCATCATACTTCACCTCCTCTTTCATGAACTGATATTTCTGAGGGTGATGTACAGTAGAAGGCCCCACCCAAAAATAGATAAAATTAAGCCAATAAATAAACAAGGGGAAGGTAAAATGTAGAGAGATCTAGATACACTGAACAAAGAAACGGGACAGACAAAGGAGCTTAAATTTGATATGGCAGAGGCTCTACTCACTGGCGACACAGAATTAAGAAGGACTACAGACACCTTCATACACACACAGTGGTGTGCTGGAGCCAGCTCTAAATGGCTGATGAGAACCAGTGGCAGTGTGAGCATTAACACCTCAGAAATCACTGGCTCCAAATTAGGGCTTGGTGTATTGTTTTGTTGATTATCTAAACCAGCTGCTGGCAAACACTCTGGGGCCAATTCTTCTTTGTTTTTTTTTTTTTTAATGACCCAAGAGCTAAGAATGGTTTTACATTTTTAAATAGTTGGAAAAAAAAATTCACATTTCAGTGTTCATAAATGAAGTTTCATTGGAACACAGCCATGCTCATTCATTGGCATATTGTCTATAGAAGCATATATGCTAGAAGGGCAGAACTGGATAGTGGCACCAAAGCCCCTACGTGGCCCTCTCTTGATCTCAAACTGCTGCTCATTGAACTACAAATCAGTGATGCCACTAGAACTCGACAGCATTCCAATCACCATCCCAGGCTATTTTTTAAAATATTACTAGTATAAGCTCATCATGTCAAAATAAGAAGAGAAAAAAAAAGTTTTATTATGATTTTTTTTGAGTTCAGGGCCAAGAATGACATTTTTCTGAATGAGAACCACCCTCAGCCACTATTATCAAACAATGAATGGTTTTGAAAATTAGCTTTTGCTTCTGAGTTGATGTTAATGAATTAAACATAAAACTACAATGAAAAGCAGCACTTATTTGTGAAATTTACACACAGTAAAGTCAATTTGGTGACAACTAATATTGTTTGAATCATAAGTAATGTCAAGCTTCTTTATATACTTCTCATGCTGTCAAAAGTTAAAACAAGAAGTAAGATTTCCACTCCCCCACACATTTGCAGCAGAGGTAGTTTCTAAGCTCAAACTACAGTTCCAGCAGCATTTTGTAGACCTTGATGCAAATACAAAAGAAATTCCCTTACATACTTAATCTGCAATGTAATGACATGCTAAGAGGCAAATATCAAAAGAAGAATTTGACAGAGTTCTATAAATGCTTTCCAAGTGGTAAATATACTCAATTAAAATTATATGCTTATGGATGGATATCAGTATTTGACATTGCCCATCTACATGAAAAGACATTTTAGAGATGAAATACATAAAATCCCATGACAGATCAGCATTAACAGATGAACATTTACAATCAACTTTAATAAAAGCAAACACTAACTTTGAACCACAATTAAGTGAAATGTTATCCTCCCCCCAAAAAAAATTCTATTTTTCTTATTAGTAGACCTATGTAACAAGAAACTGTACTTAATTATCATTTTTGTATTTTGAATTTTGTCATTAAAAAATTCATGGAAATTTATTTTCTCCCTTGTTATATAAGTTGTTGTCATTCAGTCTTTTTTTTAGTTGTGTCTGACTCTTGATGCTGCCATTTGGGGTTTTCTTGGCAAAGAGGGGTTTGCCATTTCCTTCTCCAGCTCATTTTATAGATGAGGAAACTTAGGCAAACAGGGTGAAGTGACTTGCCCAGGGTCACACAACTAGAGTATCTGAGGCCGAATTTGAACTCATGAAGTGCCTGACTCCAGGGCCAGTAGTCTACGCCACTGCACCATCAAGCCGCCTTGTTGTGTATAACAAGTACCTCCAGAATAGCCTCAATTTTGCCTCTTGGCCCACAAAGCCTAAAATATTTACAATTTGGCCCTTTAGAGAAAAAAAAATTGTCCAATCCTGATATAGCTTAAGAAAGTTTTAATAATGAAGATTAAATTTTAAAATGCGTGTGCACACATTTTTCTCCCTGGAGAGTCCACTTGTTAACATTTACTTTAAACTTTAAACATTGCTTGAGCCCAGGCAGGATGCAGTAGAAGGCTCAAGGAATGAAGCTATCCCCAGACTTAGACCTGGTAACTGCAGGCTAATAACAATGATGATGATGATGATAATTAGAATTGATATATCACTTTAAGATCTGCAAAGTGTTCTATATCTATTATCTCATTTCAACCTTGCCCTTGTACTCTCTTTCGCTATACGTGTGTATTTGTGTGTGTATGCATATACATATACTGTATTTATATAAACACTATACATAACACATATCCATACATGATACAATACAATTCAAAAAAAGATAGAAATATTGAAGA